GCTTGTTCCCTTTTTGCTTTGAGATGGTTTTGCTTTCCTACAGCTCTGCTGATAGGACCAGGCTACTGGTTGTGTGCAGTGATTAAATGGGGGAGGGGGAGATCTGCAGCACCAAAGGCCTTGCCCAAATTTTGAATTATTTTTTCTTGTATTTATTGATAAATGAGCCACTGCTCCTGTTTGTTTTCTGGAGTTGTCATCATAGGAAGAGACACCCCAATGCACAGACACTTCATGTGGAAGGAACCACAGTACTATTTTTTTTTAGGAATGTTATCACTCTGCCCACTAAAGCAGGCTGTAGAACTATTTCCTCCAAAGGCCACTGCGGGGGGCACAGGAAGGCTTCAGTCAGCCTGCACCCAAACCAGCAAGCAGCTCTCCCTGCAGCCCTGCTTTGGGCTTGTCACTTTATTAGGCACCTTCCCAGCCATACCACAGTTTAAAAACAACACTGTGAGGGAGGCAATTTATGAACCTTTTTATGACTGGCACATTTTATCTTGAAGCAATTCATCCATACAGGTTAATCATTAAAGTCTAGCACTGGCCATCCTCTGGATTGCCCAACACATTCCCATTTTCCAGGCAGTGCTCTTACCTTTGCTCAGTGTCTTTCTTGACAAAACCATTGTTGGGTTGTATTTTCAGTTGCATTCTTGCACTTATTTTACTGTGTTATCTTTGAAGGGCTGTTTAGGACTGGCAGCAGTCTGCCTGTGTCACATTTGGAAGCTTTAACCCATTCCCTTTTGTTCCCCCTCTTAGTCTCCTCTCTGAGTCTGTAGCTGCACAGTCACTTCACTCAGCCCAGTTCCGTTCAGCTGCCAAAGGAGGCAGCTCAGACCTTCCACCCTCCTTCTCTTTGGGCTTGCATCATTCATGAGGCCACACAGAGTGGCAGAGGAGAGCTGATATGCTGGGAATTGGGACAGGAACCTTTCTGTTGGGTCCCTTGAGCTCAGCTGCTTTCCTGACTCAGTTGCTGGCATGCAGCTCGTGCTGGCAGAGGGGAGCGAGTGGGGCTGAGCAGGTGGCTTTTGGGGAGAAAGTGGCCAGTCCTCAGAGAAGCTGGGAGGCTGGCTCCTTTTAGGACCTGTGTGGTTTTAGTCCCTTTTGTCGTTGCACAGTCATTTAAAAGTCAAATTAAATGACTAGAGGAACAGGATGCCCCTTCTCCCTTTTCCCTTTCCCCCAGCTTCTGTTTCTGAACCTTGTTCCCTTTTGTGGTCTAGCTTCGAGGAGCTGCCTCTCCAGGTTCCTGTATTCTTAGATTTCTAAGTGGTGCCCATTTGACCCTCTTGGGGAAAAAAAAAAAATCAGTGGCTAATTCCAGCATTGTACTCTGCTGGTGTTGAGCAGATCTTTAAATCATCTGCCTGGTTTTAATGGCCATGGGATGTTCCCAGTCCTCCTGCATCCTTGGTATTAAGAACTTGTGCTTTATTTAGGTGAGTTTAAGTGTTTAGGTTCTTAGCTAGGCTTATGTCTTTGTCTTCTGTCTTAAGGAGCCCTGTGGTGTTAAAATCATCTCTTTATGTAGAATTGAAATTAAGACTCATATTTGTTCTGCAATATGAGAATCTTATAAGTCAGGGAGGAGTTTTTAACCAAACAGACTTGCAGTGGACCCTGGAAAGGTCCCTTTCCAGCTGCCTGAGGCCTTTTTTGAGCTGAGGGGAGCAGAGCTACAGGCAGTGGAGCAAAGGTTGGACCAAGGCTGTGTAAAGAGGATGGTGATGTCTCCCTGACCTGGATCCAGGCACTGCTTCCTTGGATTGGTTGGGTTCCCTGTTTTGTCTAAGGATTTATCTTTCAGAATACCTTGTTTGTCATGATCTGAAATTTTTTGTGAAGTATGACCTTACTTTATCCTGCACTGAGGTTACTGCTGCCAAAAGAAACCTGATTTACTGTCCAAGGAAAGCTATATACTCCAGTTACCTACATTAGTTATTAGTCACAGTTTCTGCAGCTTTCTTGGTTCCTTTGTATTCTTTTAGGTCACTGATAGAAGTAGCAGAACAGGTTAAAATCATTCCTGGCTAACCTGTGTTCAGAGCTGCTCTGGCCCTTGCTCAGCTGGACACACTGAAAACCCATTTCCACACTCACTCCAAAAGCTTGGAGGAAGCAATTTGCATTTAATCCATGTTTTGTGTACCTCTTTTCTTGCATGGCTGAGCATTTTTACTTTTTCTTGCAAGGTGTCAAGGCTGAATTTGGGTGAGGACTGGAAATAGGGATTTTTTAGAACATTCTCTTTCATCTTTGTGGAAATTAATTTTTTTTCCCCAAGCCAGTTCTTATGGCCTGACAGGATTGTTACTGAATAAATTGGAATATAGGAGGGCATAGGGAGGACCCCTGAGGTTATTTCCTCTGTATCTCATATCTCTGCACTTGGTGTAGTAAATACAAAACTAAGACAACTAAAGGAAATAGTCTTTTTATTTGGTTCTTATTTCCTCTGACAACTTTGGCTAAATGTTCCCATTTATATCTCAGGAGTCTGACTGGTTCCTGGCTATTGCTGCTCTTCCATCTTCTTCATCCTTGCCTCTCACCTCTGCTGCTTCACGGGGTGTTTCCAGGGGCAGGAGCAGTGTCCACAGCCACAGCAGCTGGGTTTGGTGCCTGTTTGGTGCTGTTGCATGAGGAGAGGTGGCTGTGGGGTGTTTGCAGCCTCCTGGAAGCAGTAGCTGCATTTGGAGAGCCCATAGTAAGAAAAGAGGTGGCCTGGATAATATTTATAATAAGCCTCATAATTATCCTGTGTGCACACTCATCTGCTGCTGAAACAAAACTATTTTGGCCACCCTGGAGATACTCAATCGAGAGGATCCACACCAAAACTGGAACAAAGACTGTAGAGAAAACTTGGTGGCACACTGAGCTGATACAACATGGTGTAATTAAGCTTAGTAACTCATTAAAAGCAGGCAGCCAACTCCCCCCACCCCCAGGCCAGTATTCCCTGCTGCCTGTGCAGCTGATCGTATCTACAGTGCTTTTGTAACAGCAAAGCACAGGCTCAAAAGAAGCACTTTTCAGTCCTTTAGGTAGAACTGTATAATTAGAGATACAGAATATGCCATAAATATTTAAAACTGACTCAAGGACTGTTTTTGATAGTGCTCAAGCATGAGGTAGTAAGACCAGGTTGGATGGGGCTTTGAGCAACCTGGTCTAGTGGGAGGGGTCCCTGCCCATGGCAGGGGGATGGAACTGGGTGAGCTTTGAGGTCCCTTCCAACCCAAACTGGTCTGTGACTGTGATGGTCTGTGACTGCTTCACTGAGTGGGAGTGCTCATCTGCTTGGGGGGGTCTGGCCAGGTTGGATTGATGGGCCAAGGGCAGTTGTGGGAAGTTTAACAAGGCCAAGGGCCAGGTCCTGCCCTTGGGTCACAACAACCCCAGGCAATGCTCCAGGCTGGGGGAGGAGTGGCTGGAAAGTGCCTGGTGGAAAAGGACCTGGGGGTGCTGGTGGGCAGCCAACTGACCATGAGCCACCATGTGCCCAGGTGGCCAAGAAGGCCAAGGG